CCTCCCCCCTCACAACATGACTCCTATGGGTGGTATGCTCATTTCATTTAATGCTCCAAGCAACACCAATTGACAACCTTAAAGTCGTTTAATAATCATTTTATTCTTAAAATATAGAGTGGATTGAACCATATCTGCTTACTCCTAATCTAACAATCAATCATTCAAAAATTCCACTGAATTCATATCTTGATGTCTTCGTCGTCTTTCCTTCCGAAGACAAAACTTCATTCGGGGTACAAACTTTGTGTTCACACTGTGATTGAAAGTTCTGGAAAATTAGGAGACCCACCCTGGTAGAAACGATTGTTAGAAAAACTTTTAAATTTAAAAAATACAAGTCTTAAACAAACTGTTAAAATGTTCCTATATTAGGAAGTCTCTACTGGATATTTTTTTAGGGGAAAATTTACGAGCTGTAAAATTCAAGTAAGACAGTGTTAAAAAAAACTTTAAAATTCAATTGTAGTTACTCGACACTCTAAATATTGGAAAAAAATGTTAAATATAGTGTATTTCCTTCGGAAAATACACTAAAACTACAGTAATATTGTAAAAGTTTTTTCAACACTTTTTTCTTTAAATTTTACTTCTCGTTTTACTTAAAAATATACCCAAGTAGGGTTTCCGAATACAAAAATTTAGACAGGTTTTTTAAGAGTTTTTGAAAAATGTTTAATAGGTCATTGCTATACAAGGGAAACGAAATAATTTGAAAGTAATTTTGAGCCACAACTCTAGGGAATAATGGTATGAGCCGAACATTCAGAGTTTCATATCAATAGATCTATTCCATTTGTTACACCAAATTTTCGGTGCGTGGGACCTTGAGAAATTTGTGTGGTTGAACTGTTGTTTCCAATTTGCTTTAATTAAGTTCAATCTCACAAACCGAATGTATGATTTAACAAACCTCAAGTACATTTTGATAGTCAGAATAATTCAATTAATATAGAACACCAGGGATCAGCATATAAGATCAAACTTTTTTCCAGTGCAGGCTCTGACTTTAGGTAAGAGGGGTTTACAGGTAAAAGAAGTGACAAAACGTGTACATTGCCAGGGAACAAAACTTCTATTTTGAATCCAAAATTTACAGAAGAGTTAACAAACTGTTACTCTTCATGAACAGACGGACTATCCTCCAATAAAAATGATTGGTAAGTATAATTAGGTAAAGAAAATGAACGACTTTGGTATGGGCTATTCTGAAATGGAATGATGATGGCAAAAGGCCAAAATCATGTAGGTGCCTTTATTTGCGACATTGCAGACTTCTTGTCATTCTTTACTCTTTGCTTGGAAAACTAAGTGGTTAATGTAATTTCTTGATAATTTCATTAATTTTCTTCTCTATTAGCAAAATTTTGAGCATATCATAGTACCAGTTAGGCTGAAGGTATTGGGTCAAACTTATATAAATGGAACACTCTCTTGATACCAAGCGAAAGGTTAACAGAAAAAAAGACATAAAAACACCAATTGCACAGATTTTTATTTTGTCCCACAAACGAGAAACATGAACTAAATCAACTTAGATTTGACAAGCTACTTTATCTTGATTAAATTTAATTAAGGGCACAGAAAATAGAATCCATAACATCAAACATAACATGCTGTGAAGGCGTAGGCATTAGAGCAGAGCTATTACTTGAACACTTAAAAAGATTATTGCAATTTAAAGGAAACAACATGACATCAATTCTTTCATCGGAATCCAGTTCCAGCAAGTTTTAATAACAAAAAAAAATGATTTCATTAAGTCTGATTTTTATAAATCATGTTAAAAATTTCATGCTTCAGCAAATTATAAAAAAATAGAGCTTTAAAAATTTAAAATCAAAAGAAATTAGGATTGAATATTGAGCAATGGTTGTCATAATTTAGAATTGACTTTCTGGGGCATAATTTATTCAACCACTTGTGGGTCTCTTATAATTTGGTTAAAATATTAAGGTATAACAAGAATTTTCAAAATAATTTTTTCATTATCAAAGTGAGCTACATTATAGGCAATTTAAAATTCACAAAGCTCAGTCTTTAAAATGTCAGGATAATAGAGTAGGTATTTTACTTATATTTCTATTCTATTAAGCTCGGGGTCAATCATTTTGACTATAAGAAAATTTCCAGTAATGCTGTAGGAGATAAAGAGAAAATGGACTTTTTCTGGTTGCTTTCGACAGAGAAAACGCAGAAAAGCATAAATCCATTTGTAGCGTTGCAGACTTACAGTCATAATTCATTTTCTTAATAGAGGAACGTTAAATCTTGAAATTTTTCACTATGTTTGAAGGATATTCAATAAAATATTAAGCCATGAAGTTGGTTCAGCCTCCTTTGAAAAACTAAATTAATAGCCAAGATTTTGAAACACTCCAATTGATGTATGCGTTTTTGCGGTTTCACCTCTGCAATATCTTTTAACTAATTCTTCCAAAAAAAAACCCTTCTCACGTTTGAAGCAGCTTGGATAACAATTTGTGAGGGAAAAATTAAAACCATACAATTAAATCTCCATATGTAGTTATTTTTCTCAATAAGGAATTCAGGTAAATGATACTTCCAAAACGCATTTCTCCTGAACCAGTAATCAACACAGTTTGGAGTTGTGGTGACACAATTTTTAGAAATAATCAAGCTTCATCGCTCAAGGGGTTTTTCTTATTAGTGAAGCATTATTCATGCAATTATTGTGATGAAGTCTGACAAAATTGTTCAGTGCAGAAAAAAAAACAATGTTGGGTCAAATATATCGATTTCCAGTTTTCAAGGGCAAACCCTCTTTAATCTTTTCAAAGATATCAGGTCAAAATTTTCAGCAGCAAAAATTTTAGGTCATAATATGCAGTGATAGGGATGCTATAAACATTAGAAATGAATTCTTTCTAACAGTGTCGATAGCGCCCGCAAACTTTCATTGTGTTTACTTAGAATTTCCGATTTATTGCTCTATAACTTCAAAATGTTCTCAAAAGGTTCATCTTTGAAATTGCTGGGTGTTCTCTGCATCAAATGATATAGAATTGACTCATCTAAGCTGTAGTAGAGTTGGCTCATTTGTATTTTACTTTTTGGTCACCTTAGGGATCATTTTGCTTGACCCCATCTTAACTGAATGAGAAAGGTCGCTAAGTTTTCCTCATGGGTAATCTCCATAAATCAACAGTTGTCGCACCTACTTTTACTTTAATTTTCAGAATACATTCCATAATTGCTTCTCTACGCAGTCCAGCTATCTAAATCTTAGCTGTAGAAAAGTTTCCTGGCTTAAAAAAAGAGAACACAGGAAATCATAAACAAGCATCCCAGACCAAAATAGTTCTTTGTGTGAATGCAAAAAAATCGGAATCTATTGGTCAGATCAGTAGACAATGTTACATTATTTGAAATACAATCTTATTCTTCAAATAACACTCATTTTTTTGTCGGGGCTCAATGATGGCAGCTCAGAATAAGTTTGGTTTTGAGCACTGATTGAAATCACCGCATCCACAAGAAGTATAAATTAGACAGAGTGGTTTTTTGTCCAACCATCTCTTTAAAAACATTACAAAATTCATTGGGACATTATATTATGTAACCTCATCATGAAATATTGGAACTCATTGGGCCAAGAGGAATCCATGTTTTCTCTGATAATTTCTAGGCTATCTAACAGCATTACGTACATTGGTCTGTTAACTACACTAAATACTTTACCTACAGGACATAAGAAGTCATCTGTATTAACTTCACAAGTATTATACCGATTAAATTTGATAAAATTAATTCAACTCTTAATGTTCATGAAAAATTTGAAGTTGTAGGTGATTCCTATAATTGAAATTTTACTAATTATAAATTAAAAAATTATCTGTGACATCCTTACATTAAGAAAAGCACCAATAAAATAAGCATCTAAAAATGACATAAATTGGAAGGTACATTCGGACACATATTCTACTAAATAGGAGGGGTATCAACACTTAAAGATTAATACATTAAATATGTAGTGAAGAAAGCGCAATTCCTTTGAGAAACTGATACTCAAACATCGATCAGTAAAGACATAAAACAAAGCACATGGCTATCAAGTTAATTTGAATCATCATTTTACGCAGAAAAGTTTGATAGAAAGAGAAAATATTGAAACATAAGATTAGAAAAAAATGGGGAACTGCGGGGGGGGGGGGCGCCCTTGTAGGATGAGAAAATATGATAAAATGTGCCACAAAATTACTAGAAAAACTTTGACAAATTAACTTTCTCTTCTTCTTGATTTCATTGCTTGCCTTTCAGAGTTTCTATGATAAAATGTGCCACAAAATTACTAGAAAAACTTTGACAAATTAACTTTCTCTTCTTCTTGATTTCATTGCTTGCCTTTCAGAGTTTCTAAGTCCAAAAGGTTTATTTAGTTGGAAAGAGATGGCAAATTCACTTTAACATCAAGAAATGAACCATTAGCAATCTTATCCTTTGATCACGTCTGATCCTAAATTTAGTGAATTTAGCATTCAAATCTCTCTATAGATACCAAAGTAACTTATGTTTGGCCTTTTACAATGGGGATCTGTTAGAATCATGAAAAGGCTTTTCATATTAACATTCAACATGTTGTCCTGCTTACGTCGGATTTTTTTTTTTAAGATCAATATTTTTTTCGGGAAGCGCAATAAGTGTTTCTGAGGGGAAAAATGGTTTGTTAAAATTAAAAATCGCATTCATTACAAAAGTGTCGGGAAGACAAATTTTTTTAGGAATTCTAGATTAATGACAACAGTCAGGGAATACATCAAGACACTTTAGACTACCAGATATGCGAGTTTTTTCACCATACTATGCTCAATTCCTGGCAAGCAGGAAAGGTGAGCAAGGGCTCTATTTTTTTAAACTTAGGGTTTATGAAAGAAAGATTTCACAGTTTTTAATCTCTTTCACACTTCCTATGACTAATGAAGAAAAATTAATTAGAACCTTTTGTTTTTAAAGCACTCTGTTTGTACAAACTATTACATGTTAGAAGGACACGGCAAAAGGTGTGCCTCCTCTCACTTCATTTCATATTTACTTTCGATGTTAAAAGAAGCTTCTCATAAAATAAGAGGCTGGTTGGTGAAAATATACATGTACTAAATATTTGAGAATAAATACAGAGCAAGAAAGAGAGGAAAAAAAGGGAGAAAAAAACAAAAGTTAGCGTAACATTCAAACTAAAAAGTTACAACATCAAGGCACAATTTTTAAATTTGACAAAATATGACTTTCACGAGTTTAAGTTTTAGCAATTAAGGGTAACAGCAGGCAGGTAGACAAGGCACTTTCACCATATTGGGCTTAATAGCATACAAAATTCAAGGACAGCATGTTTCAGGACTTAAGAGCTCATTACAGGGAACGCGAGGGAGCTTCCCTTACAAGAAGAAAAAAATATTTAATTGTAATTTTTATTAATTGCAATAATTAACAAGCTGACTATTCATTTTCCATGTAAAATACATAATTATTTTTCATTGAAAGTTACGAGGTCTGAATCCAATTCGAGCTAAAAGAATTAAAAATTTGGGGATTCAAAAAAAGATGTTCAAGCAAGAATTATTTACAGAGAAAAACAGGGAGATTCTTACTCTCATCTTTCATCTACTTTGATCTGAATGACCTTTATGACCGAGCTTATACAACAGACAAAATAATATCCCTGAATTTTGTCCTCTGAGAAACCCCATGATGCCTGGCCCTTGGGAGCTTTTTAGTAAATACATGAGATCTAAATAAAAGGAATCATGAAAAATTGCTCTTTTTGGAAGAATTTTAATGCGGCAAGAGGCAACCTGCAGGTGGCCCTTTCCCCTTTTCTGAGACAAATGGATTCGAGGGTAACTACGCAAAAGAGCGCGTCAGCGGAATAATTTAATGGCTTGCTACTGGTAATAAGAATGGGATTGTAACCAAACTAAGGATTGGTCTAACGCAAACAACAGATGGGGTGAGAGGATGGAGGTATTGAACAGGTGCCCAAACAGTAATTGTAACAGGTCGCTGGCTACCAGACAGCTTTTAAAGAGTTTGTATTACATCACTTTTAAAAGTTGAGACATTCTCTGAAGTTCTCTAAAATATTTCGATAACCCATTCATAAACTGCTTCATGTACTTTTCTCAGTCTTCCCCTCCATTGTTTTTAAAGACCACGACAGCTTCATTAAAGAAATGAGCAACTTAAAAACAAGCTCAGACCATCTCCTGGTTACAATAAATTATGTACACTGGCAATGATAATGATTTTTTCTTTCGTCATATCTGTTATATGAAAGGGGGGCAACAACAAACATGGGACTGCGGGCTGATTGTTGAAATCGATGGACAAAGCAAGAAACAAAAAAGACATAGGGAGTATGGAGCGATCCTGTTGGTTAAAACAGGTGGTTGTGATGGACAGAGGGGGAAAATTGCAGACTAACTAAAGGGTTTCTTGTGGGTTACATTTAGTTAGCCTATCACTAGCCTCCTTTGTCCATTGCAACTACTCGCTTCCACCAATATGATCCCTCCATATCCCTTTTGTCTTCTTGGTCTATCGCTTTGTCTACCGATTTCAACAATCAGCTGGCGGAGGGGATGGCTGAGATCCCTCTGTTTTAACACAGATAGAGCTTAATCATCAAGCGTATCAATTAAAATATAAAACACGAAAAGATAAAACACAAAAAGAATACTTATGAATGATCGTCTGGTACATTTAAAAAAAAACATGCACACTTCCTATAAGCACTAGTTCAGAGAGAAGTCAGTCAAAATGAAAGACCAAACCCTGACTTTCCTCCTCCTCTAATCATCTATTTAGTGATGAGAAGACAGCATCAAGTGTTGACAGAGGACATCCGTCTCAATTCGACAGAGAAACTGCAGGAACGCGAATCGCAATTTGCGATGTTGCTAACATCCAATCGGACTTCATTTTTTAAAAGACGAAATACTCAACATCATTTCTTTATAACTTCCTGATTTCTCTACATGGTGTGAAGAATATTCAATGAAAATTTCAAGCAAAACGTCGATAATTTGTTTTTTTCATAAAATTTTATGAAAGTGAAGATTTTGAAACACAGCAAACAAAATACACATTCATGCAGTTTCACCGAGGCATTATGGGGCAGTGTTACATGTTGAAATTCAAAAGTGATTTTAGAGGTAAGTCATGACTGATCAGTGTGTTCACAAGTTAAGTCCACACATCGTTTGTTTTCACAGAATTTTTGTTACTCTCCAGTTTGATCACAGACCCTTTAAACTGTATTGCAAGGGTCTGATGACACTCATTCTTCGATAACTTCACCAGTAAACATTTCCTTCATGAATAATTTTGAAAAAAAAGAGGCGGCTACTCATTCTTTGGCCTTGTCTCTACGGGCCATTTCACAGGATTTGTCCCAGGGAAAAATTCCAATTACGAAGTTGGGAAAAATATTGAGTTAATCAATATTTTTCCCAGTACCAAGTATGGTCCTTGCACCCCTAGGACCCACTGAGAGAGGAAGAAGTGCAATATTTTGTTGATTACTCCATTGTTCATATTTGTTTTGTTAAAATAATGTGTCTAATTGTCGATTGAGTGCAATTATTATTTTAATCCCGGTTAAATACTCGACTTTATCTAATTTATCTTCCTGTGCAAACTAGTTGCAGGACCGTAAGAGCCTCGTCCCTTGGAGACAGTAACTGGGAAAAATCCCACAAGTTTCATTCCTGCAATTCAAACTTGGGACAAATCCCATGAAAACGTCCCGTGGAGACAAGGCCTTTAGAAATCAGTGAAACAGAATAGTTACTCCTCTCTCATCGTCAGATCATGGTAAGTGCTTTTAAATTGAAGAGAGCTGCAGATTGATATTTAGACAATAGCACTGCACAGTCTCGCTTTGAACCAGCTCCTGCTAAGAAGGCTCATGAATGATGAGGTCTATAAGACTAAAGTATTCAAAAAGTTTACTGCTCCGGATTTATTAATCAAAATATAAACATATTAATTTATAAAGAAATAAAAAACTAAAGTGATATCCGGACGGGAGAATAGATCAATACTTGTTGAGAAATTAAAAAGTCTCAGAAGCAGAAGAGGAAAGAGAGAAGGCTAGCTATTACATCCACAAGAAAACATCAAAAGCACAAAGCACAGTATACATCTGAAGAAAAAGCTTTGTATTAGGTCTGAGTTCATTTGATGCCAAAAACAATAAAAGTTCCTGTTTCAGAATTATTTGAAACTGACGCCTCCAGAATATTTGGAGCAATAGGTAAGCGATTTCAAGTTAGTTCCGGCTCAAATTATATTGATGATGGCAGACAGAGTCCGAGGGCCCGGAAGTTCCATTTTATTTTCATTAGACATTATGGCACAGAGATCAATAACTAAATCCTGTTAAAAAATTGAAATTAAACAAGTAAATTACTAAGATGGCTTTCATAAGATTACGTAACAAATATAAGATCTAAATGTTAAGAAATTTATAAAAAATGATAAAAAACCGCGAACTCACTTGTGCTAGGTATACTAATTTAGATGAGACGCGTTTCGGGTCGAGATGGCCCCATCCTCAGTCGGCAGCAAACTGTTCGCTGCCTACTGAGGATGGGGCCATCTCGCCCCGAAACGCGTCTCATCTAAATTAATATACTTAGCACGAGTGAGTTCGCGGTTTTTTATCATTTTTTATAAATTTGTCTTGTGACTGTCCCCTACAAAAGTTTCTGTAAGAAATTTACCAGCATTACTACTTTGACTAGAAATATCGAGGCACAACCATTGTGGCGTTTCAAAATTTCCACTCCTATTTTATTTTTTCGGGCAAAAACGAGCCAACTAGATAGCTTGAGGTTACAGAATAATCTGCTGACAAAGAAGAAAACAATTTGGAAATTTTCAAGAAATCACGTTGACAAGTTTGCCCAAGAAAGAATAAAGTATGACAGAAAGTCTGCAACGTCGCCAACAGAGATATGTCATTTCACACTTTAGTCATCCACATCCTTTGAAAAATAGGTATCTTTTTTAATTTCAGACTAGAAGTTGGAGTTATTGAGTATTCGCACTGAAATTCACATTACTACATTAAATAGTAATTTCAGTGTATTAATATACCATTCGAAAGGTGGCAGGTTATTCACATTATTTTTCTTGGTCCCAATGATACTATATATTGAAACATTAAACATCTTTTCATCAAAACACATTAGGAATGTATTTTTGAAATGTTTGGACACTTTATCTGGTTGCATGGTGGCAGGTTACTCACTTTACTTTCTTTCGTCCCGATGATGCAACCCGATAAAGTGTCCAAACATTTCAAAAAAACATTCCAAAAGTGTTTCGATGAAAAGATGCTTAAGGTTTTAATACAGGGTGTTTCAGACCACCCGTACCAGGCATTTTTCTCGGTTGGTTTAGGTCGTACGAAGTCGGAGACCGCGGGGTTGGATAGAGAATTGACCCCAAGGACCGAATTTCGTAGTCCCGAAACCCCCCCACCCCCCCTTGGGGGGTAAAGGGGGGGTCACGGTTCCCGACCGAATTGCGAGTAGATCGCATCAGAATTGAAAAGCACGGAAAATTTCACGTGGAATTGACCCCTAAAAATCCAAAATCGGACCATCCAAGGCCCAAAAATGACTCCCTAAAGAGGGGGACAGTACCCCCCTCCATAATTTCTCTTTGGTCTCAAAATTGACGTAAATTCTCCAGAAAAAGACGGTTTCCCAGGTAATCGACCTCGAGAAATCCAAATTTCATGGTCCCGAAGCTCCTCTAGCCCCCCTTGGGGGGTAAACGGGGGGGGGGCCCAATTTTAAAGATCGGGGCTCCTTTCCGAATCGCAAGTTGATTGCATCCAAATTGAGGAGCAGAACACATCTACATCTTAAGTGACTCCTAAGAGTTCTAATAGACCCCCTGAACGGCAGAAAGTAACCCCCTGAGGAAGGGGGCCTCACCCCCGCCAAAAATTTCTCAGGATTCCTCTTTGGTCGCAAAATTGACGTCGGTTCTCCAGAAAAAGATGGTTTCCCATGTAATCGACCTCGAGGAGCTCAGGGAACATGAAATTTAAAGTCCTGGGGGTCGACCACATGGGAAACCATCTTTTTCTGGAGAACCGACGTCAATTTTGCGACCAAAGAGGAATCCTGAGAAATTTTTGGCGGGGGTGAGGCCCCCTTCCTCAGGGGGTTACTTTCTGCCGTTCAGGGGGTCTATTAGAACTCTTAGGAGTCACTTAAGATGTAGATGTGTTCTGCTCCTCAATTTGGATGCAATCAACTTGCGATTCGGAAAGGAGCCCCGATCTTTAAAATTGGGCCCCCCCCGTTTACCCCCCAAGGGGGGCTAGAGGAGCTTCGGGACCATGAAATTTGGATTTCTCGAGGTCGATTACCTGGGAAACCGTCTTTTTCTGGAGAATTTACGTCAATTTTGAGACCAAAGAGAAATTATGGAGGGGGGTACTGTCCCCCTCTTTAGGGAGTCATTTTTGGGCCTTGGATGGTCCGATTTTGGATTTTTAGGGGTCAATTCCACGTGAAATTTTCCGTGCTTTTCAATTCTGATGCGATCTATTCGCAATTCGGTCGGGAACCGTGACTTTTAGCATCGTGACCCCCCCTTTACCCCCCAAGGGGGGGTGGGGAGGTTTCGGGACTACGAAATTCGGATTCCTTGGGGTCAATTCTCTATCCAACCCCGCGGTCTCCGACTTCGTACGACCTAAACCAACCGAGAAAAATGCCTGGTACGGGTGGTCTGAAACACCCTGTATTATTAATTTACTGTCTTTAATTACGAGAAGGAACTGACTTTTTACAGCCTCCCTTGTGCATCAGTATTTTCCAAATTCCTCTGCATTTAATCTTCAGTTTTCAAAATGAGGCAGCAGTTTTGAGAGGTAGCTTACCTGAAGGTTAGATATGTAACTTTGAAAATTCAAGCTGTGGGAATTCCTGCAGACAGGCCTATTGCAAGGGCTCAAAAAGTAGGTATGCGCAAGTGTAGAGGCGCTAATGTTTAGGTATCAGGTTTCTTTCATTTATTTAATATTTGAGAGATTCTTGTGTTTTTTCACCTTTTTCCCTTTTTATTCCCAAAGCGTATATCAACAGCATAAGTCTGCAATCACATATCTCGTTTGCAGTGTCTGAAAATCTCCGCCTCTAGGTTGTCTTTTAAAAGGAGAACAAATTGACATCATTCCTTGAAGTTTTTGCAGAATTTTCTTCGCATAGAGAAGAAAAATCACGGCAGTTTTAAAGAATTGCCGTTGAGTAGTTTTCTTTTAAAAAATAAAAAATGAAAGGAAGTCTGCGACATTGCAAACCGAGGTATGTGATTGCCGACTTACACTGTCGATACGATCCTCATCCGAATCATGTGCATAGTTTTTAAATTTTGAAAATTCCAAGACCAAATTTTACAGAAATTTTAAAATGCTCTCGTTGATCTCCATTTTACTTTCCTTCTCTCCCTCTGACTCACTGACGGGGAAGAGAAGGGAAGAGAGACGCCAAATTTGCTATTTACGTTCGTGAAAAAATTTACCCTTGCAATAGCCCTGGCTGCAAGACCATTATTAACATTAACCCAGTTGCTGATTTATGGGTCAGGATAAGGCTGGAAGGATTGAAAGAGAGAGATCAGGTGATGTCTAGACCTTAGTACGATCAAATCTCTTCTTTTTATGAATAGGGTACCAGGTCATAGAATTTGAATGACTTGAAAGGAAACTGTTGGTTACTCCCCTAAAATGATGCGCTGTCTCTTTTCTGATAAAGATCTGTAGTTGCATTGAACCAAGGAGGCATGTGTGCAGGCAGGACGACAGGACAAGCAGTAACTTAGTTATATTTCAAAAATCAAAAGAAAAATAGCCAACTGTTGCTCTTTTGGTAATTATTGTTCCATACACCGGATTGGTTATCGCAGTAAACTTAAACTGAAGACAGCTGATTTGATAGGACGATTTTGCAAGACTCATCATCATCAATTATTTGTATGAATTTGCAGATAAAAAAGGCCTTACATAATTTATGCACAGCCTCTCACAAACTTTTTGGAGAAATCTCATACCTCCAAGGCTTTTTACTTATCACAAAAAAATCGCGGAGCTTCTTAGAATAGGAATTTCTGCAAAATAATGGCACAAATAAATAATGAAAAAAGAATTGTACTCACATTTCGATGTCGATAAATCAGGACGATGGCGGTGGCTTGTTCATCACGTCGTAGGTGTCATAAAATAGGTTTTTTTCTAGGTTTTCATCTTCCTCAATAGATGGCAAATTTCCGAATTCCATATAATCAAAATCAGCCCCAATCCCTTTACTGTAACTGTATACAGACAGACACAATCGTGTTAGTAAATTTGTAAAAAATTTTGAAAACAACTATTTTTGGAAGTTCATTTGAAAGCAACTCTCTTTCAATTAAATGAATAATAGATGTAGAAAAAAACAAATGAGAATCATAGATCTGTGAGTTGCTTCCTGACAAAGGGAGAGTAATGAGAGAAAAGAGAAGTTGAATAAACAATTGAATTAAAGGCATGGAAAAATAATAAAGGCAAAAAAAACAAATAAATAATAGCATACTGATCCATTGTGTCTGCCTGTATACAATTCTATTAAGTTTGAAAGTTATCGAGCCATTGCACTGAGTTCTTTTAAAATTTTTGATTCGGTCAGAGCAAAAATTGATGACAGGGTAAATATCTTGAAAAATATTGAGAGAATTTTATGGGTCTTGCCTCGTTGAACCATCCTAATAGTTTCTCTGAAATACTTGGACTTACAGCAACCACCTATAGTGTTTAGGGGAGACAATTTAAGATCTCAGTAAAAGATTGGGAGAAAAAACAAATTAGACTCATTATGGTGTTACCAATATGGACAAAGCTGAGATATGTAATGAAGAGGTGATTCTACATGGTGAACAAAAATGAAAAAATGTTGTTACTTGGTGATGAGATATTCCCTACAATTCAAGATAGGTAATGATGTAAGTGCAGGCTGCTTCAGGAAACAAAAAGATAAAATAAGTAAATTCAATTTTCTCAAAGATAGGAAAATTGTATTTTAGGGGGTTAAAACTAGCAATATCGACACTTTAAATTTAAATCATTCATTTTAGTAGGGATATGATTTTTTGAGTTCAAAGACAAATAAAGCATAAATGCAAAAACTCGATAATTTTCAAATGATCAAAATATTCTTCTTGAAGAGAACCTAATCAAATCATTTTGAGTTTTTCTAACTTGGCCTCCACAGGAAACTAGGTGACATATCCTGAGAGTAAAATAATAAAATTAAACTTTCAATGCACCAAAAGCACAGTTATTTAATTCTTATCAGATGATAAGAGTAAGTAGAGAGATGCTCTTTGAAAATTTTGGATTGGTGAAAGAATGAGATGCATTTTTGTAGGAGAAACGACAAACTTTCTAATAAATTTGATAATCATTTGTAAGTAACAAATTTGTATTATGTCCTTCAACTCATACTAGTATCACACTTGAGGAAAAACCAATTCCACCAGTTTTTGGGAGGAGCGTGTGCTCATCTCGGTAAAGTTTTTTGTTGAGCTAGTGATTGAAACCATCAAAGAGCATACTGTGTCAAAATCTTGGGCTTTCTTTTAATCTAGGTACCTTTTCTAACCTCAATGAGCAAGTCTTTCTTCAAACACAATGGATCATATTAAATTTTAAGATTCGCATAAAGTTTTGGGTAATGAAAAGGAGGGCTGAAGAGACTAGAGAGGTGAAAAATGGGAAAGTTATTGAATGTCAAACAAGAATGGTTATTTACTTTACAAGCTTCTGAAATACCTTTAATCAAAATGAAGCTGCACTTCCTTTTACCTACTTGTGCCAGTAACTAGTAGATGAACTATCATTGAGGAATGATTCAATCTTTTTAGATATTTAAAAACTACAAAAGGTCTATAAAAAGCTTTAATTATTTTGATGCGGATGTATAATTAACTATCCTCATAAAGAATATTAAGTCAAGCTCCACCGCTGAAACCATGGGGTGAAAGATTGCACTGCCTTCCCCCAAAAACTGTTCATGTTTTGGAGCATGCATACAAAAAATAGGCAACTCTGAGGGCTTTCAGAACCACATCATGCAGATGCACTTACTTTGCATTCATGTCTACATGTGGTTCTTCACTAACTTAAGTTCCCGTTTAAACGTAATTTTTCCAGGAAATAGTCTCATTTCTAGCTGTACCTAGTTAAGTTCATTCCCTTCAAAATAAGTTTGATATTATTATTTTTTTTTGGGGGGGGGGGCTCCAGTTTTTTTCGATTTTCTAAAAATTCAAAACATTCCTTTCAAAAATTTCACGAAGATAAGTTTCTCCAATAAAAAAACTAAAATTGTAGATAACCTTATGATTGATGCATCTCTGATTAGTACAAGTAACTCAGAATCGATGTTTAAAGTAGTATCAGTTTGACCTATACGCCTCTTTGATTCCTCAGACAGCAACTGGCTGAAACCAGTACACAGCTACTGAACCGATTGTAAAAAGTATGTTCACTGTTACGATGAAAGACAATGAGCTATGATGCATTTTTCATAAATACTTATATTTGAGTACTTTTTTTAAACACCAAGATTGTTGTTTAGACACGTACTTGACAGAAAACACAAAAATTGTGAGAAAAACGGAGGGAAACAAAAAAAGCAACTTAACAACACAAAATTAATACAGCCTTCATTATAGTGTTAGACACAAGATCATGACATTTTTAACTACATACTTATAGAAAAGGCTACCTGAAAATTTTAGCATAAAGGTTTTTAACCAAAGATGCTGAACTTCGATCAGCCCATTTTTTATTTTTTCCCTTTCCAGAAAATAAGCTCCCCCGAATCTATTCCAAAAAATTGGCATAGTTAGATGAAAAAAATAATATTTTGTAAACTCTTATACCTCTTGATAAATTTCAATTTCCTAAATTATGCCTTTCTGCCAACTACATTTGATCAGATTTTGAAGTAAAAAAGGGAGGTTGAGGACAACTTCAACCTAATTTTCTTCCTCCATCCCTATTGCTTTCACTTTTCATTAGAAAATAATCACTTTTTCCACAAATATTTGGAATTAGGAGAATACAACTATAGCAGCACCAGCTCAGCGTGTGAACTGATTCTATAATTTCACCCAAAAAATAATTGGAAAGTTTTAAACTTTTGATTTAAAAGTTTAAAATAAGTCATGGAAAAGTGGAATAAGTGGTGGCATGGGAGGTGGAAAAAATGTGCATACTGTGTTTACATAATATAAAGGCAGATTTTTATTGATATTCTTTAAGAGAACATCAGAAACCCAACTACGAATCGACAGTGAAACTGCAGCAACAGGTATCTTGGCTGCAGTGATTAAAAAACTCTGCTACTTCATTTTTTACAGGAAGAGCAACCCAACACTGTGACTTGAAATTTATTTAATATATTCTTCACACAGGGAAGAAAAATCACTGAAGTTTTCAAGAGATGAGGTTTAGTAGTTTTCGACGTAGAAAATACGGTAAGACAGGAAGTCTGCAATGCCGAAAATCAAGATACTCATTTTTGCAGTTTCACCATCGATACGCAAATTTGAAAGTTCTTATCGGCTCAAAATGCGAATTAATTTTTCTCTTGAGTCTCAAACTCTCAATAGAGAGGCGGCATCTCCAGTCAGCAAGTTCAACATCTTTCCGCAGGAAAAAGAAGAAAAAGAAGAGAAAAAAACCTAATTCATCATAAATGTTTTCCTCCGGTCAAAATAGTACCATCCCAGTTAAACCTGGACTTAAAACTATTGCGGTTAACAAAAATAAAAACAATTTTTAGGAGGAGAGGGAACAACATCTTAACAAAAGCAGACATCACAGCTCAAATCAGATATTTTCACATTTTTACTACTGATTGTGAACTTTAGAAAAATGAATTTAAAGGTACACCAAAAAAGGAACAACACAGTGTCCCCCATACTTTTAGCATCAAGTTTTTTTTTTAAAAAAATGTTTTCTCCCTTTCTTATACATTATTAAATAGTGTTGAATGTATGAAATATACCAGTGTCTGAGCCCTCCAAGATTTCATGAATGTATCTGTAGTGATATAGAACTCAAGTCTACACCTTTGGTGGAGGTCTCTCAAAATGAGGATTTTAGTGTTTCCCACAAACATTGGCCTAGCAACATTTAGCACCTGTTACGCAAAAGCATTACCACTACCAAACATTTGAGTTACAGAATAACATTGTTTGACATTAGAACAACTTAAAATATTTGCAGGTAGGAAAAATTTGACTTTGCACAGCATTGATAAAGTAAAAAACCACAACTTTTCCTTGACTAAATAATGAANAATCAACAGTCAAATTGCAAATTCCTCGCACATGTAACATCTCCATTGGGCCAAAATGCACCGATATCAATACCTCATATGTTACTTGGTTCCTCGAAAATTCTCCTCTTGGACTTAGCCTAAAAGTGTGGACACTTTTTAGCCTCCGGCGAAACCTAGAGTCTATACGGCTTCGCCGCACGACTAAAAACCACAACTTTTCCTTGACTAAATAATGAAAAGCTGGAAAGCTCAGCTAGAAAAAAAACAAATATTACACTTAATAAAAAACTTAACAATTTCATTGAGAAATTTATGTTAAATAAAACAATTATTTTCATTGCATTATATATTTTTTTTTGTTTTTGGTTTTATTTTCTCAAATTATAAACGGAATCTAATTTACTTATAATTATTTTCAACCTGCTGAAACACATGCTAATTCAGCTATGAGGTTCTTTGGAACATGGGCAAATATGCCTTATACTGCTGCTATGATAGCGCAATTAATTTTTAATGTAGTTTCCGGCAAATCAAATACATTCAAATTAAAGTTGGAAAATGAGGAAGAGTTGGGACAAGGCTTATAGCAAAAGTTATAATACAGCATTCAAATAAGACGGTTGCAAAAGACACTCTCAGTGACAAATCCTTAACAGCGTTTCTAACCTTTCATATACTTGTTTTTAGAGGCTTCTCAATTGCAGGTACTAATGTTATATATCTTGACTGATTATGCATAGTTCTCCTTTAAAAACTAATCACTGAGAAGTACTGTTAAAAGAGAAAAAAAGGAGGGGGGGATGGATGAATAATCGGAGGAAAAAACTACAATTCAAACATCAAGCACAGTTATCTTACTTTCAGATAGTTTCTCGGGAGAACGATGGTCACACCTTACTTAACTCAGAAAGACAGCGGCAGGAGGCTCCTTGATACAGAAGGGGTTGGATGGAAAGAGTGGAATTGAACACAAGAGGATTAGAA